GATGCCGCGTGAACCAGTGATCAGGTATGCGTTGAAAATGAGTAATTTAGGTGAGAGTTGACGATATTATGCCTTGCCAGCAAGTTGCCAGCAAGGGTTCCAACACGCGTGCCAACGAATGCGACTCTACCTTTCGATCCCTGGGTGAAAATGTGGAACCCCAGGGAGACCCCCTGGGCACCCCCGGCGAGCCCTGGGAATGTGGGATGACCCCTAGATAACCCTGACCCGTTTTCTGTGACACGTGACAAAAAGGGGGCCCTAACAACATCATACACAACAGAAATCGTTTTTCAATCTGAGATCCTGTTTCGAATCTCTGCCCCTGATTTCTGTGACACGTGACAAAATGGGGGCCCTACCCATAACATTTACAACGGACATCGGATTTCAATCTGAGATCCTGTTTTTAAACCCCAAACCCTGTTTTCTGTGACACGTGACAAAAAGGGGGCCCTATTTATAACATACACAACAGAAATGGTAGGGTTGTGTATCGGCGCAGCCGAACGATATAATATGTATCGGAGATCGGCGCAGCCGATATAACGATATTTTTTCGATATATCGGCGAAGCCGATCTATCGAAAAAATATCGGCGAGCGAAGCGAGCCGTGGTTAGGGGGCTCGCGAAGCGAGCCCCCCCGCGATTTGGCTTCACTAGAGCATATTTTTTGGGTGATTTTGGGGCTTCGACCATGCCATTTTTTGGTGGGTGATATCCTGAAAACTACTGAAAAACGCTAAAACTTGGAAACCATCGACAATAAATGACAGATGATTAGTCAGTTCTCTTTCGAAGCTTTGGTTGGGTGGTACAACACGACCACGTTTGAACGTCTTCACGAAGCTGCTTCCAAAACACGTTCCTACCTCCCTCGTCCTCCCTCTCTCTCTGAATCTTGTCATGTTTCTACAACACAGCCTAAGTTTTTCGTGTTTTTTTGAACTTGGTCTCTGCACAGTGAAAGTCGCCGTTTGCCACGCACAACTGACAGATCGCGATGCCCGAATGGCATGGGTTCCGATACACCCTGAAATGCTTCCACACCGGGTGTGAGGCATTCGGGGGCTTGGGCAGCTTCTGCTCCATCTTGACCCTCTCCACCTTCGCAGCCCGCTCGTTTTTCTTCGAACGCTCTGCTGTCTCTGTGTCTGAAACTGGTTCTACTGCAACCACCGGCGTGGAGGACCCTCCATCCTGGTCCGCTGCTGGTGGGGTACTCATGGGGTGTTCGGCTAGTGTTCGGTGTTCGGTCTGCTCTTCTGTGGTCCAAAGCAACAGCCGCCGCAACAGCGAGGCCTCATAGGGGGTCCAAACGTGTAACTGTTGTAACATATGCCCCCTTTTTGATTCACGGAGCCCCCTCAAATATATCGCCCAACATATCGGGGCTGACAATAGATATTCGATACGATATATATCGTCCGATTATATCAAACATATCGGCTCCGATACACAACCCTTTTTGTCACGTGTCACAGGTTTCAAACTGATATCCAGATTTGAAACGCCAAACCCTGATTTCTGTGACACGTGACAAAAAGGGGGCCCTAACCATGACATACACAACAGAAATCGGGTGTCAATCTGAGATCCTGTTTTGAAACCCCAACCCTGTTTTCTGTGACACGTGACAAAAAGGGGGCCCTAAGCCCTTTTCACCCCAGCAGGCCACCACGTATGGAGTGGTACCCGCACGATCCGTCGCCGGCTGCATGCTTGACCCTTGCCCTATCTATGGGCAGGAACAATGTGCGGGTTTCGCGGCCGCCGTCGCTGACTTCCTTTTTCTTTCGCTCGACGCACTCCATGGAGATTGGCTTCGCTGCAAGACGTGCACCTGTAGCCATTCGGCCACCCCTGTGTGAACCCTGCAGGCAAATAGACCCTGTACGGACGCTGTGACCACCTGTCTAGGTAATCGGTCCCCACAGGGTCCACGGGCAGGAACCCTCTGCCAGGGTGTCGACACAACCAGGGTTGTACCAGTTATTTCTACGATACATTTAGTCTTGTCAGGTGTGTTTAGCCTCTAGGGTACAGCCCCAGCATTATTATACCGATGGTCCAGCAATCTACTGTTGCTGTATACCGAACACGGCCGTTTTTTTTTTTTTGAAGATGCACGCGATAAATGGTGCTCGCTGCTGGGAAAGTGACAGTCCCGTTCACAACTTGCACAGCATAACAGGGTTCGGCCGTGCTGCTATAGGGCATGGGAAGTCTACAAATAAATGAATAAATAACTAAATGGCATATATATCTTTCGGGCGATCGACAACGCGGTAATAAACAGTGCAAGCGTCGCTGGGTACAAAATATTTCTCCCTCTGCAGGACCGAAATATATGAAGTACAAGTTGTTTCAGATGGCGATGACGAAATTAAAGAGAAATAAATACACGCACAGGGAGACTACCCATTCGTGATATACCCACAGCAGTAAACTGAGCGATACCTCTCTCGAAGACAATGTTTCGCGGAAGTCCCGAGTTCGATCCCCGCTCAATACACATTTTTTTGCCTGAAAAAAAAACGAACAACTTGAAATTGCGATCTGCAGGTAGCTCAAGCAGCGAAAATTACAACCACGAACAAGCCGAGAAATTTTTTTTGTCGGGGTTAAATAGAAAATTACTGATTTACAACATGATAGAAGGCGGGAACAGCAAACAAAATAAAAAATTAAGGAACAGGTGGAAAAAAAAGACGGCGCTGCCCGGACTCGAACCCGCGTCTACAGACACTCCACGAGGCACCCAAGCCCCACCACCCGTAGCCGCCCCACTCTTCTTGACCCCGCTAACCCTCAACACAAGTGCGGTCTGAAAGTTGCGTCGTTAGCCTCTCTCCATTTCCATCCCCATCTCCGCCCTCTCTCGTAGCTGACGAACACCGGCGTACAGACACACACGCAGTGGCGTAGACCAATCTCCACGAAACTGTTGTCCATGGCGCGCTCTCTATCTCTTAGATTATCCCTGGCGTCGCAAAATTGAAGGACGCACGAGAAGGGACGCGTTCAGGGTGGCCGACTAAATTCTCGTTAACAAATACGAGCATGCAAGAAGGGCGTGCGTGAACACCATAGCATAAACCGAATCCGACGACTTGCAGTCGGGCGCGCCTGCCACCACTGGTTCATGGGCGAAGTCGTCGTGCAATGAAGGTCCCACGACCTCTATTCCTACTGGCATGCACCGCTATTTAACCACACTATGTAACATGCACATGCGACTACTCCTTTTCTAGGGTTAGCTGACGCGTTACATATATGAAAGCCTCACATTCCTCCGAGAAACCAGCCCGAGCGCGTTCAGACAAACGTGTCTTGGTTGGTGCTGTGGTGCACTTCGTTCAGGAGGTACCTGTCGTAGCCGTTTCGTGATCCCGGCAATGCTAGCCGAAACCTGTGGTGCCAGACACGGTCCCTGCCACCACTGTACGGCCCCTGGGATTCTCCGCAAATTTGCGACGTACTCGATCCAACATCGCTGTGCTGAGGGCATTGATGATACATGTGCACCTGCCGTCTGATGGCTTGCACCGGGTAAACCTTAGGACGGCCCCGCCCTCGCAGTGACAACGTCGGGTGTCGGGTGACAGAATCGGGCACCCGCTCGTTCCCATTGCCGATCCCGACGTAGTCGTACGCGAGCACTCACCACGTGGACGGCCGTGGTTCGCCGCTGAAGGTGTTCTTGTTTCCTTTATGGTCGAAGAAGTGGATGATCTTGCTCATTGTCAAGTCATCTACGGATGGCGCAACGTCGTCACCGGTCGGAGGTGGTTTGTTGAATATTTCAACATCGTTTCCCTGCCCCTGTCCTAGTGCCCAGTCGTCACGCGGCCCAACTCGCGCGGCTGCCTTGGCGTCGCCGCCCCTCAAACGTCCCACGCCACAGCTAGCTACCTGCGGCACGCGCATGTATCTCGAGCACTCCATCAGGGTAGTTTCTAGGGAAGTAGACTCGTCCCAGCAGTAGGGGCACCGAACATTGTCGCACCCCCCATCACCCCCCCCGCATCCGAAGTACCGTTGGTAACCGCGGATCAACGCTGCCTCGTCTGGGCGGAAGTTTCCCGAAGAAATGCGAGCACTCCATGAACCGTCGACGTTCGGCACGCCGTCTTCCTTGAACAGGTGTGCCGACCAGACCGCCGAACCCGGAAATTGTCCTTTCAACGGCGCTGGTGTTTGGATGGCGGAGGCGTGAGCGTCTGTGGGTACGCGGTCGTGACCGAGCGTAGGGGCAAGGTAGTTCATCAGCCGGATGCATCCGGCTCCCGGTGACACCGAAATAGCCTCATGTTCCTTGGTCCTGCGGTTGAACGTCGTCACTGAGTACTCCAGGCCGTTGGCGAGCGCAAGCAGTGCGGCGTTGACGTTGGCGCGCTTAACGCAGTGTTTGGGTGGGTTCCTGCCGCAGTCGGACTTGTTGCCGGACTTGTTTTGCTGGTGGGCGAATTCCCCTGGACTTGCGTCGGGAACAATACCTAAAGTCGGGTGGAGGAGTTGCTCGATCTTCATTCCGCAACAATATGCTCTTCATATGAAATATTCCGAACGTAAATAATTGAAGTCTCGGAGAGGATTGGGAGGAAACATAGGGCACATACAGCACGACAGGATTTTTCAATCGCCAACTGTCTAAATGTAAAACAATGGTTATTAAACCGAGAGGAAAGCACTTGCGACAGCAGTTGGTGGCTGTAGGTCGAGCAGTAGCCCTTCCAAATATGATGGGTTAGGGTTAGCTTCTACCAACCGTCCTCTTGCTGTAACTCCATCAATTTTTTGGCACCGACAGTCGTACATTGGATTTGATCGCATCCCACTGGCTTGGATATCACCACCCGCGTCGACACGGTTTTCAAGACACAGCGAGCAATAATATGTATCACCACAGGAAGGATTGCTCCAAACGCTGTTAGCATCGAAGTTGTAACGCGTTACTCGGGACGAAGCCCCACATTCTCAGGTCATGTAAAGTAGGCTACAGGACTCCAACTTTGGCACCATCCTCACCGTGTGCTCGAATGGCCTCTGTCGTATGCAGGATGGAATGGATGGTAGGCCTTGAACCTGTCCTTCCCATCACCTTGGAATAGAAACCGACCTGGCCAAAGCGGGTAAATAGTATTGTTTATATCCTGTTGCTACTCAATTGCCGCAAACGGCGAGGCGGCTTTCTTGTCTCGCGTGTAGCAAATTGTGTTGAAACGCCCCAAACGAAAACTCGCTAGAAGGCGTACACTCCCAATAAATGTAACCCGCTGCAGCAGGGGAGTGACACATTTGGGTGATGGAGACACGTGGAACGCCCAAACCGTATCGACAGTCACGTTGGCCGTGACGCACTGCGTATAAGCTGTTACTGATACAACTGCCTAATACCCAAAAGAATACTAGCCGGGGAGATACGACTGCCGACACATACTTACCGACAACGACCAAACCCCCGATCGGCACACGCCTTTCCACAATCGACAACGTTTTCAGCGGTTTCTGCCCAAACGCGTTAGCACTTGCTACAGCTAACGTGTCCTCCCGCACGGACACGGAGGGTTTCGAACCTGCTCCGGTGACCCCCGGTTCCCAATAACAGGCGCACGATTTTCGCTGCCCACGGCAAAATACTTCACAATGAAACATGTGCTGTTCTGGTGTGGAGAGCAAGGTGACACAACGCGTGACAGGAAGAGGTCTGATGAACTTACCACGTCACGCGCGAGAAGGTCGAGCTGGGATAGCTCGCGGTCGTTGTGAGAAGGCGCACGCACGGCGTACGACAGGTGGGACGCCACTTGTACGAGTTGCTGTAGCACCTCCAGAACCTTCCCGTCAGTCCCCCACATCTCTCGCAAGTCGTTAACGTCCTGCCTCTTCATGTTTTTCTTCTGCGATGTTGCGACAACCGACAACAGGAACACGGCGTAAATTCATCGGTGGGTGGAGCTTCGGGGAATAGGGTTTTTGTCGAGTTTGATTACTACGATGGGTCCGGCACCCAGGCGGTGAGCTCCGTGAAACAATCCAGGAAAACAATCGCTGGGGGCGTCACGTCGATCTTGGTGTGGGAGCTGCGGGGCGGTGTGTGTTGGCCTACACTGAGGCGTGCACCTAGGCGGCAAGAGCGGCACGCCTTAGGTCAATGCGCAGCCTGTGTGTCGTGCTACACACAGGCGTACCTGTAGTTCCACGTGTCTCAGTAGGGGTATTCCTTATCACGAACATGGCCAATGAAATGTACTGTTGGGACTGCTACGTTGAGTCTCATACGCCCCCCCCCCCCCTCCACGCGCGCCGCACTGCGTACATTAAACCTCACCATGACGAGAACCGGTCGGAACACGAGCAGCATGATGGACTGAAGCGTCCACTTGTCGCTCCCGGTGAGGGAAGAGTAGTTGGACACAATGTCCTTGAGGCGCTCCGTCCCAGCTGGATACAGAAGAGAAGGAGTCTGGGACATGACGGCGGAGACCAGACGCCGTCCTCGTGTCGACAACGTTTCCAGTAGGAACACCTGGCAGAGCTGACAGGACCCCTGCAACAGTCATACGAACATGTTGCATAGTTGGGGTTGGGATACAAAATTGCAACGCACCGAAAGAGGGAATGGGTCCATTGCTGTACCACCATTCGGTACTCGAACACGGGAAACATCTCAAAGAGCAACGCTAGATTCAAGACCACTCGCCGACGGTGATGTGGACGTCGAATACTTAACGCTTTTATAAAAAATGCAGGATTACGTCCGTAACATACATATTTCATACACCGACCGCACTACAGTTATCGTAGACGGAGCTGAATTCCGAAAAATCACCAGAGAGCATCGAAGTGAAGTCGTTCCACCGGAGCAGCCTCAGTCGGTACGATGAGCATGGCGTCGTAGAGAGGTAGGGGGAGGCCGGTACCATCCGGTGCAACCAGACCCAGTTCCATCGAGCGCCGAGACTGTTCGCTGGGGTCATCCGAGAGGGACTGCAGCGTAGCAAAACCCTCTGTGATCCCCCCCCAGGTACGTCGATTGGCATCGAGATCATACTGGGCATCCTCCAGATCTCCCCCGAAGGCGTCGTCGCGTTGCTCAACCATGCAGTAGGGACACGGGAACCTCGAGAAGTGGTTGCATGCCTTGGAACCGAGGTTCTTAGCCCGCCCCGGCCCGTCCCCACACCACATGAGCAATCCGCCCCGAACAAACACCTGCTAGGTTCGAGATATTGTGGCACGCATGATGCTGGAGTACCTGAGAAGCATGAGCAACTGACTGTATACATGCACACGTGTGTTGGAGGCTGCCAAGCTGCTCGGGTATACACCCCGCACTTCACGTGCGTCACACGGAAATCGCTTAAACGTTCGCTTTGACGCGGCAGCCCTTGTAAACTACCAGCCATTAAGTCGCATGACCCTCCCGTGAAACTTAAGTTGAACGCTATCATCTCGGGCGCATACAACATTGTTGCAGAAGCCAGTCTCCGGAACGTCCGCTCATTTAATCCCCCCGGGGGACTCAGTGCCAATGCCGTCTTGTATTTCTTTTTAAAAAACGTCCACTGCAGCCAAAAGCTTCGCCGCGTTTACATATTTCCACTGGGAATTGATCGATAACGACGTTACCGCGCTATTCAATGTTCGAGTCGTCTAATCAAAATTTCGAGACGACGGAGGGGGGTGCTCGTGGAGGACGTACTACGAACATTAGTCTAGGTGACTTCGTCGCTTTCGGCGAATAATGTGGTGGATGCCACAATAAAAATCAAACCGCATGATGTAGGGTGTATGGCGCTTAGAACCGTCATCCCTCCGCAACCCCTGCGGCATACATGTAACGTCGGAAGGGCAAGAGCGTTTACATATATTGAGCTACTCCCTTCTGTCACTGGCAAGACTTTGGCAAGACATACCTCTTGCAAATAGGTTGTCCCATCATCCTCTGTGAGAATGCATTCGCCCAAACACCCCCGCTGTAGCAATCCAAGGATTTCACACTGCAATCCGATCTCTCCTTGGCAACAAGCTCCGGTGCTCGCAAGGGTGCCGACGTGTGTCTGTCGCTTCAGTCGCTGCACAGCTTGGGTTCTCCACGGCCACCCAAAGTACCCGCCACCCACGGAATGCTGCCCAAACGGTAATTACAAAGGATTGTACGTGGTAGAACAACATACGTGGTGGGTGAAAGAGTGCTCGAACGTTAGGGCGAGACGGCCACACTACAAATCAGGTTCTAAACGGGCGAGTGCACGTGTCGATCGGGTGCTTCCTGTAGACTAGCTGCTGATGGGCACAGGGAGGAGACCGAACAGGAGGCGTCAGCCATAACGCCACGAACGTGGGTGGCGGGGACAGGATAAAAATGAAAAAGAGACAGATGACAGGTAATTGTACTTTGGGCGATGCCTGGGAAGAAGCACCATGAGCACTAGACCACTAGTCAGCCGCAACTAGTGGTCTAGTGCTCATGGTGCTTCTTAACAAAGCCAACCCGAGAGCGGGTGTGTGTCCGTATCTCTGTGGAGACGCTGGATTGAAACTTCGATACAAGTCGTGAGGGGGTCAACTGAGGGCTCCAGTGAGCGGCTGGAGTAGCAGCTCCGCGCGGAGACCCAATATCAGTGTGAGTGCATGGTGTGTTTTCGTGCTTCCAAACGAACCCACTTCCCTCGGTGTTTGATGTCGTGGTATGCATTTACAATCCTTAAGGCATAGGCGTATGCCACGAAATTTGGACGAAAGGATTATCATGAGATCCCTAAATTAGGCTTCCACCTCGGAGCACTCTGCGAAGAAAGGTCGACCAAGCATCGACACAGGGGTTGGGTGACAGAGTCCTGCTTCCGGAGAACAAGGCGAGAAGACGTAACACACAAAGTAGTACCTGCTTGACCTACAAGTCTATACGCTTGCAGCCGTACCCTACATTGGGGTTCTCTCTATCCGAATGAACAAATAAAATTGCCCAAACGCGTGGGGAGTCTTTCTCAGGTTGCTACAGCTGAATAGGGTTACGATTTTTGTCTCTCCTTGACTCCATCGAGTGTAGTCTGCTACAACACGGACGAATACTTCAACGCGGGTTTGCTACGCGACGCTGATGTACACTATTTTCTCCACGTCTAACACATGGCACTGTTATCAGATTGTTACAGCAGCAGTACATCGAGGGTATACCGTACATGAAATACACCAACATACCTTGGTCGTCGGTCGAAGGTGCACCCCCACCGGGTGCAACTGGGGAAGACGCAGGGTCTACATTACTGGGCGCATTGGCATTGTCGATTGTAGTTGCGACACTGGCTCTATTGGAGCCGAGCCCCCCCAACAGGCCGATGGGGTCCCTGCAACCAGCACAACGGTCGGCATCCGCCCTTCTCCTCCATCTGATGTTACATTTGCAGCGGCACCCTGATCCCGGGGCAACGAGCCCCCCTAGTGGCCCTCCCCCCGCCCTCATGCTAGACAGCGGCGCTGCGTTGTGTGCCCCGTCTACTGTGTAGGCGCAAGCGAGGATGCCCCCCCACTACCCCCGGATAATCAAAATTTTCAGCGCTGGATAGGGGGGGCTTCGAGCATTCGAACTGTTTATGCTGCGGTGCCCCGTGTCACGCATTGTGGCATTTTGGCGCGCACATCTCCGTTTGACACCATCGGCGTATGCCTGCGTGACCTCTTGGTTGAAGCCAGCCGGCAACCAGAATTGGACGGGCAACCGCAATGGGTGGCTCTGAGGTGAGGTGTCAGATTGCCGAGTATTTCGATTGGGCGGTTAACCTGTTGAAGTCACGCGTCTGCGCTCTCCTCTCCTTTATTTTTTTGTTTTTTCACGCTCACTGCACATCACCGCCACCATCACGCCCGCCCCACACTGTCACTACCCATCTACCCTCATCTGCTCCCCCTCTCCTGTGTACGGCAACCCAACCTATCCCCGTCTGCTGCGATGCCTCTGCGCTCTGTCCACCGCACGACCTCCGTAACTCCACTCGGAGAGGTGAACCTGAACCACCACCAAACGCGCGGGAGGACTGCTTCGTCCAGGAAGCCATCCCAGAAGACGCCGGCCGCCAAGTCGAAGGGAAAGGGGCGGCCCAGGTCGGCGACCCGCAAGAAGAAGGCTCTACACACGACGTGTCCATCCACGGTAAGCATGTAGGTTCTTTGCTTGCCTTCTTTTGTGCTTCCTTCCAATCTAAACTTTCCCGAACAAAGCGTGTGTAAATTCGACATGATTTACGTCTGTACGAGAACATGACCGTAACATGGCCGTACGCATCTCGATAACCGCCTACACGGGCGCGTCGCTTTTTGACGCACAGGCGAGTACGGCAGCCAACAAACGGTAGTGGGCATGCGTTGCTAAATTGATATCGATGCGGTGGAGCCCATAGATCGTCCATACAGCAGCATTCCCAATACGCTAGAGGCACGTGGATACAACTATTTATGTACAACTACGGAGTGTTTCCTTCCCGGCGTTCGCCCACGCCGGCCTCCGTTGAGGGTATGGCTGTCCGGATCCTTTGTAGAGGGCGAGAGTTACAAAGGGTGTGGGCGTTGTTGTGGGTGTGCCAAACGTGAGGTACTGTAGTTGTGTTATATATGGTGAGCCTACCCCTTTTCGGTCGAAGAGCCCCTGTTGTGAACATGGTGTGTGTCACAATACACGAACAATGGGTAAGGGGTCTAGCATATCTTGCTGTGGGCGCCATCCGCACGTTGATCGATATGTCGTTGACCCAGTAGAGAACTACAGGGGATGTATTGTAAAATGTAGGTTTACCTGTACAGGTGTTTTTGTACTTAGCACCAGCTGGCATCACTGACATAAATCATCAGTGTATAGACTTTAAAAGACTGGAAATAATTTAAGTACCCAGCCGGTTTTCCTCCGCTCACTGAAAAGACTCCACCACATCCCGTTCGACTGTGGGTATATCTCGAACGGATAGTCTTTATGTGCGTGTATTTATTTCTCCTTAATCGATATAGATTTATGGCGGGGGGAGGGGGGGGGGGGCGTACTCATTTGTTGCTTGCCGTAGTCATTTGACCATTGACCACGCGTCCCTTTCGAGACGGAGCACCGTTCCTATACCTACTAGAGACACCACCAACATTTGGGAGCTCTTTACGTTTCTGCCACAAACTCCATAAAAATTTCTTGCACATCTTATCCCCGTCCTCTAGGGCCTCTTGTGCCCACCATCTATCCCCAATTATGGCGATCGTTTTTTCGCTGTTGTCTAATTTACCAAACTTGTCCATGTCACATCCTCTCTGTCTCATTTCCTCCTCGAGATCCTCTCTTTCCTTCCTGTACAACTCACACTCCCTAACTATGTGGGGTCTACTCTCCTCCGATTTGCCACATGGACATGTGTGTCCATCCTCCTCTTCCTCTCTCCTACGGCTGGTATGCCTCTTCCTCCGTTCTGGCAAGTCCAGATCGCCTACTCGAAATTGCAATTTCAGCTTTTTCGCATAGTCCATGGGGCCGTCCAAGTACGTCTGCATCCCTATCCCTTCTTTCAACTTCCCGTATATCTCCAAGTGGTCTTCGCATAGTACCTTCTTCCGAAGGGTTGCCTCCTCCCTACTCTCTAGCATGTCCTTGACTTCGTCTTGAACCCCCCGAACCCCTCCGTGTCCAACGTCTCCTCCTCGTCTCCGATCTCCTTCCAAACCTTCTCTACCACCTTGTCCCATCTGATTCCCTTCTTCCCTGGAGTCGCTTTTCCCCAAGCTGCCTTGTCAACCATGGCTGGTAGTCTATCGTCCGACATTCTACTTACCTTGTACTGCCAATTCAACTTCTGCATGTCTCTCTTTGTTTTAAGAGAGTACATTCCCAATTCTGCTCTCAATACAGTGTTGCTCGTTGTACTTGAACATCCTAGTATTTTCTTGGCCGCTGCCATCTGCACCGTTTCCATCTGCTTGACGGCCTTTTCGTTACCTTCCCATACCTCTCCTGCATACTCTAGCTTAGGTACAATCACATTCAAGAGAATACACCTCTTAATCCTAGTGTCTAGGTGTGGGTCCGTAAGGATCTCGTCCATCTTGCCTATCTGAGCTTTACCCTTCCCAATCAACTTCGCTATGTGTGCGTCCCATGAGCACTCCTTCGAAATCTCTACTCCCAGGTACGTATACTTGTCTACTTCCGGTAGTGTTCGTGATTATTGCTGCTGTGTGTCAACAGAGTAGCGCAGAACACTGACAGGAAGTTCAAATAACGGGACTGTCGTTTGGTAGGAATGTTTCTAGGAATGTTCTTCGCGGATGGTGTTCTCGGTATGTCGGATGGTTCATAGACCCGAGCGTGTTCTCGGTATGTCGGATAGTACATTGGTCCGAGTTCCATGTTTTGTGTGTTGGTCGAGCGACATGGCTGATGCCGCGGTGCTCGCGCACCCAGCTCACTCCACCTTTTGACCTGTTCTCCTGATCCAAGGTCTCATCAATACAACATCTTTTCCCCAGAAGCCACGAGTTTACCAACACGCTATAGCGAACCAGTCGACTGCTGTTTGTCCCCTTGGACTGTACGTCAAGACTGAACGGAGGAAGATTGATCACCTTGCTTCGTGATGAGTGGGCCTGCTGGGGATCATGTGGATGACCCACCTCTGGGTTATTCGCAGGATGTTATTGGTGGTGAGAGACTGGATTCGATTGAGACACTGTTGTCCCAGCTCACCAGCATAATCAAGTCGCTTGTTGGGCAACGAGGTGATCAGGTGGAGTCCTCTGTTTCATTTGCTGCTGCGCCGGGAAGCGGCGGAACAGAGTATGCTGGTGTGCATCAATCGGATGTCACTGGCAGGACTGTGGGAGGTACGGACAGTAGTGTCCAAGGCTTTGGCATGTCCAGCATGTGGGTTGGGAGTAGTAGTCTTGCAGACTCAGGCTTGAACCTTCGTGTAATTGTTGTTTGTCGTTCCTCTGCTGGTGGTAGAGCCAGCGGCGGAACCGACGCCGGTTGGCATCCTGTAAATGCTACTGGCAGGACTGCGGGAGGTAAGGGCAGCAGTGCCCAAGTCCTTGGCATGTCCAGCGTGAGAGTTGGGAGTAGTAGTCTTCTAGACTCAGACTTGAACCCTCATGCATCTGCTGTAAATCGTCCCTCTGCTGGTGCTGCAAGCTTTGGTTCGATTGGAACTGTTAGTGGGGCTTCGGGTAGTAGCCAGTCTTTCGGTTCGGGAATGGTTAGTGGGACTTTAGGTAGTCAGTCTTCCATTCCGGGAATGGTTAGTGGGGCTTTAGGTAGCCAGTCTTCCATTCCGCCCCCATCTACTCCATCGAGTGAGTGGTGGGGATGTGTCGCCAGTGGAAACACATATATTCCTGGGGTCGGCATTAATAACACAGGAGAAAACTTGGGTAGGAGTCCTTTTCAAAGTTCCCAAAGCTTCTGTTTTTGACGGGACGGACGTGTCGTATCCGTCGTGGTCACAATTGTTTCTACTGAGTGCCCACAACAATAATCTGTATGAGGCTTTTGTTTCTGTGCTACATGTAGAGATTTCGATTGCAAGCATTGAATTCGATCTGACCCCCTGGGTAGAGAAAGGATACAACATACATCGGTGTGCTGTGCCAGACTGAGATATCAAGGTGGATTTTGTTCGACTGTTTGAGTAAGAACTCTCTCAATACCATGGCTAGGCATGCAGGTTCCCCCAGCAAGTCATTTCGAGTGTTGAAAAATCACTTTCTACCCTTGAACCAGAGCACTGTCTGGAACCTTGGAGTTGGTGTCTGTGACTGCTGACGTGAGTTTCTGTAGAGTTGGAGCATGTATTGCAATCTCCCAACTTGGGATATCACCTCTTTTCTCCCAGCGCAGATATTGGTGGTGAGTCATGGAATTACCTTGCTTGGTGGTCCTGATGGTGTGATGACTGTTTTCGACGGACATACTATTTTTCAGAGCTTCGATGGCATGCTATTTAAGACTGCGTATCGTCTTGAAGATGAATCTGTTGGTTCGGTGTTAACTGCCCTCACTCCTTCAAACCCCAAGCATGAATCTAAGATGGATGTGAACGAGTTTCGAAACATTTATGCTCATTCGCATGAGGGATTGCTTCGTACAACTGCAAAGCGACTAGGTATCGAGTTGACCGGTAAAATGCATGCTTGTACGGGATGTTCGATGTCGAAGGCATTCAAGAAAGGGATTGCTCATGAAACAAAATGCAGATCAGACAAAAAGTTGTGCAGAGTTTTTGTTGACCTGGGAGGGCGGAAGGACGTTGCGTCCGTAGGGGGTAAACATTACCCCATGATAGTGAAGGATGATTTCACAAGACGCACATGGATGTATTTCCTGAAAAGTAAATCAGACGCTGCGAGTGCTTTCCGGAGTTTCCTTGCAAGTGTGCGTGCTGATGGTATCCCATCATTGGTTGAGATTGTTAGATCTGACAATGGGGGGGAGTTTTTCGGAGGAGAATTTGCGTCCGTGTGCAACGAGCTCTTGATTAAGCAAGAGTTCACCCCGGCTTACAGTCCCCAATACAACGGTGTTGCAGAGCGTGGTTTGGGATTGATTGAGGCGGCGGCAATGGCTGCTCGTATTCAGGCAAAAGTTTTGTTTGGGCATGTGCAATTACCTAAGACTGATAAGACTATGGGCTGAGGCGATGCATTGGGCTTGCGAAGCAATCAACCACACAGCTTGTTCCGCTAACCCCGACAGTAAGTCACCGTATGAGATGTGGCATGGTGAAGCTAGTCATGCTAGACCGTATCCGTTTTTGAAACCGGCGTACTGTAGGTGGCAGCGTCCGTCTAAGCTGCTACCGAAGGGTGAGGCTTGCTTTTATGTCGGTCCTTCGAGAGACCACCCGCGTGACTGTCATAGAGTACTTACGAGGGCTGGAACTATTCAGGAAACGAGGAATGTAACATGGGAAGCGTTGCCGTCACAACTCCCTCCACTGCAACCGTCTCTCTTGCCGATAGAGGTTGCAGAGCAGGGAGGGGAGGAACGTGACGACGATGTAGAAGCTGAGGTATGGCCGCTTTTAGGAAGAGGAGTTCCCCACATTCTTTTGCGACGTGATGTCTCTGGTGGAACAATCGATGAGGTTGGCAGTGTTGATGCAGGCAGTGTAGGTCAACCCCCCTCTATGCCATCTTCGCCCGCGATTAATTCCCCTAGTAGCGCAGCTCCCCCTGTGTCTTCTCCAGCAGACGAGTTCACCGATGAGGGGGGGCAGGGAGGGCCGGAGACAGGGCAGACAGAATCGGCGGGTCCGGGAGGGCAGGAGGTAGAGTCGGAGAGTCAGGAAGGTTTGGATCAAGAGTTGGTTGAGCCGGGAGGGCAGGAGGT